CGCCCGATGGGTGAGCAGTGTGTTTGTGCCCGCTGCGTGGCTTCACCGCCGCCGGACGCCGCCGCCGCCGCCTCGTCGTCCGCCTCGTCCCCGGCGTCCGTGGACCCGTGCGGCGGCGCCGTCTGCGGGGGCCCGGACCACCGACTGCGCCTGTGGAGCCTCTTCCAGACTCTCGACGTCAACCGCGACGGCGGCCTGTGTGTCAACGACCTGGCTGTGGGGCTTCGGCGCCTGGGACTGTATCGCACCGAGGGCGAGCTCCAGGTAGACAACGCGCACCGTTTGCGTGGGTGGGGAGGGTCCCCCTTCGCGCCCCAGCATCTCCGGGAGGTCCAGGTGACAGGTCTGGTCTGCACCACCGGCTTCTTGGGTAGCCCCTTGGATCTTGGCAGGCTTGGTGGACGACCTCACGGGCTAGCTGGAACCCTCTGGGTGACAGATGGACACCCCACTTATGCCCTGGTGGGAGTGGAACTTAATCTCTGTGAGCGCTTGGGTCTGCGGGAAAGGCTCTTACTGGGTACAGGTGGTCACCCCCTGGGTATTCTTTTGGTAGAAAAGTCCCTTCTTTCTCGGACTTTCCTCAAAGTAGAAGGCCAAGTCTCAAGAGTCTGCCCTATGTCACCTCTGACCTCAGGGTTAAGCTTTGATGTTCCCTTCTAGCCACCATTAAGTGGTTTCATCCATCCTCTTCCAGGGGCACCCCTCCTTCCCCTCTCGTTTCCATGCCATCCGTGGGCCCTGATCTGGTTCCCCTCAGAAACATGTGGGAGTTGAAAAAAAATGGGAACTGGGGTTTCAGGCAGATTGGTGACATGTGGGTGGTTAGACTCATCCCCACTGACTTGCTTATCCAGGAGGTGGGATTGTGGTCTACAGGGCTGCAGATTGAAGTGAAAGATTCTAGGGGGAAATTTTTCCTAAAGGTAAAAGTGTGGTCCACCTAGGAGGGATATTGTTACTCTTGTCCTGGAGTGGGCTCCTGGCCAAGGGGGAAGGGGACAGAGAGGTGCTGTCCTTTTTGTATAAAAACCTCTAGCAGAGGCTGTTTCTTGCCCTGCTTCTCATATGTTTTTCTATGTGACTTTTTAGTTGTAGCTACCCTTTTCCATGTATTTCATTTACTGTAGCTTAACCTGATTTATAACCTGGAGGAGGAATACCAAGTACTTTACCTAGTAACCTGTTTTTCTTATAGCTGTTAGTTCCTTTGGTCCATTTGTACATACCAGAATTAGAGAATCTCTCATGGCTAAGTGTGAAAAAAAAATCTTGTAAAATGCCAGTGAATTAAGCCAATTTGTCAAGTAGGTGTATGTAAAGTGTTTTTAACTTATGTCCAAGATATCTTGGATCAACATCCAAGATATTTCACCTGCTTAGGATGAGCCTAGGAAGACCAAGTATAACACTGTGCAAGATAAAATCATTGGGTTAAGTCCAAGAGCCTTAGAAACAAGTTTAAAAAAATCTTTTAAAGTGTGTTTCATAGAAAATGATGTGAGCTGGATATTTTCTCATCCATAACCGATGAATAAATCACTTGGAAAGACGGGATGGCTAAACTCAAAGGGTCTGTGCCTTGTGGGCTCAGGGAGGTGTGGGCCTAGGTGAACCTTTCTTCTTTTATGAACCTACCACATTGTATATGCCACTAGGCATATTGAGGTCATCTGGCTGTGGGAGTGTATTTGGTGTTTATACCATGCTTTCTGCCTCAACTGGGAATCACAGTGTTCTTTCAGTTTGTGGCACATTTGATAGTGATCTTAATCCATTTTGGGAGCAGTAAATTTCTGAGGGCAAATAAGGAGAAAGTGATCATTTTTCTTTCCAGTGTTGAAAGGAAAACCTTTTTGATTAACCAAAGGGAGCCTAGCCCTTTGGGGTCACATTGGCTCTAAAATCTTCAGCTCTGACTAAGTTCTATGATCTAAAACAATTCTCTTTTATTCTTTTGGTGTGTGGATTTAGTATGGACTCTGTTTCTACAACTCTTTCAGCCTTGAATGGGAAATTATACAGCTTTGAGAGCTTGGGAATGATCCATTTTATTCATTTATTACCGGTGGAGGAGCACAGGTCAGTTCTGTGGCAAACAGTTTAAGAATTAAAGAAAGAACCTTCCTTTTTGTGAATAGCTGGGCAACAGGAAGACAGCCTGCCTCCTGACCCCCACCACCACTTCCTGTTGCAGTAGTATCAGTATTAGCTACAATGCAGAAAAAGTCGTGCTGCAGTTTTACAGAGCTAGCAAAGGCAAAAGAGAATCTGGAGGGCCGTTTAGTTTGAAATGGGTTCTGTGCCTCGGGACTAGGTACTGAAAACCACAGCATCAAACTTTGGCAGCTTCTTTGTGTGACCCTGTAGGACCAGTCTGAGAGGCTCAGGTTTGCACAGGAATCAGCTAAGTGATTTTCAGTAGGTGATGGGTGAACCCGGGCCTTGTGACTGTACAAAGCCTCCTGCTAGGTTACAACCTTTGGGTCAAGTTTTCTTTAGAAATGAACCAGCAGGTTTGGGCATCTGCCTTTGTTTTAGAAGAAATGGGGAGTCAAGGAAAATATACTTAAAATGGCAGTGGGCAAAAAAAACAGTGGCGGCCAGCCAGGGAAATTTTCTTTGTAAAGAGCATGTGAGCACGAAGCCTGTTCGGGGACAAAAGAAGGGAAGAGTTTATTAGGGAAAGAAAAAAGATGACGACAACAGTAGCAACTTCAGGAGATGAGACTTCAGCTAGAGCTAATTATAGCATTGCCTATTTAAGGCATTTCCACGTGACCAAACAAAATGTCTTTCTGAAAACAAATAATAACATAGGTTAGAACTCGGGCAGCCAGTTAAGGAAAGAACACAAGCTGTGTTACATGTCAACAGTTGTTTCTTTAGCTCAGGCTTGTGAGGCTCTCCCAAGGGGCTTGTGTTTGATGCAGGTGAGGATTCTAGAAGATGGTGTGGTTGCGTTTGCCCATTCAGAGACTTGCATACACACCATCGAGTTTAAGCCTCACAAACTGGGCTTTTGGGAGAACTTGAGGAGCAATCCATTTAGAACCCCATCTGTTATTCCCAAAATAGGTGTCAAGATTATCCAGAGGTTATCCTGTCAAAAATGAGAATCCACCTTGCCCTAATTCTCCCCTTAACCTGAGCAGTATACATGAGGCAAACTCTGTTGATTTGAAATAATTGAATGGAACATCTTTAATGTCAAGTTGGTGTTGCTTAATCAGACAGTATTATTGAACTCTATACCTTTTAAATGTTTGGCCATTTGTGGGCAAGTATTTACCTAAGTAGCTGGATTTAGATAAGATAGGCTAAGAAGAGCCATTTCTGTAGAAAAGGGGTGGACATAATTTGATATAATATAATGACCCATTAGAAAAGGAAAAATGCAGACAAAAATGCTGTTTGCAGACTGGATTGAGTTCATACATTAAACTAACTGCGGGGGGGTATAGCTCAGTGGTAGAGCATAGGCTTAGCATACACGAGGTCCTGGGTTCTATCCCCGGTACCTCCATTTAAAAAATTGTTTTTAGTAAATAAATAGATAAACTTAATTACCTACCCCCACTTTAAAAAATTAAAAAAAACTGACTATGTTATTATATTGTTGTAAAATTGGTTCCAGGCATGAAGAAATTATCCTCAAGTCAACTAGAAGATATTTTTAAAAATTAGTTGATACCTGGAAAGGTGGAGCTAGGTACCCTGATTCTAAAACCAAGTGATAAATAATGTACCAGAGTAGGTCTGATCTGGAGCTTCAAGTGGTGAATTCCTTTGATGTTCAAAGAATCATCAATTGTTGAAGCCTCACAGAAACCACAGGGAAATGAGACAAGCAAATATTTGGCTGGTATTCATTTCTAGTCCAGCTGAGCACACAGCCGTGGGATGAATTCAGTGAACAAAACTGTACTCAGAGAGGACTAGCTTCATTAAACTAAATCAGAGCAGACTTTCCATTTTTAACCCCTTCTTCT